CCCTTCAGAAAATTTTCTGAAGAAGGGTCTAGGCCCGAAACGTCAGCCTTCCTGCTCCTCTGATGCTGCTTGGCCTGCTGTGTTCATCCAGCTCTACACCTTGTTATCTGAGAATTTTTTAAACTGAGTTTTAAAATCGCTTGAACAGGTGTCAGTGTGAATTTGCAAACACAGGAGTGAACAAGGTTCTGTGCTCGTCTCAACATCAGTAGTTACATTCTGATTGATCTCAAGTTAACAGAGGACAGAATGTGAGAGATCAGCCAAGTGTGCATTAGAATAGTTAAGTCTAGAGGAAACAAAGGCATGGAGGAGAATTTCAGCAGGTGAGCAGCAGCGGAGCAAAATTGCAGAGGTGAAAATAGGTCATTTTAGTGATGGTGCAGGTATGAGGTTGGAAGCTTGCTTTGGGGTCAAATATGACTCCAAGGTTGCTGGCAGCTTAATTTAGTCAGGGAGAGTAAATGACATTGGTGTTGAAGGAACAGAGTATATAGATGGAACTAAAGACAACAAATTCAGCCTTCCTGAAAATTTTATCCAAGTAAGTTCATTGTATGCTGGAAAAAGATTCTGACAATTTAAGGAGGCTGAGTGAGGTACAGAGGAATAGGTCAGCATACATTGAAAGAATTATGTTTTTGGATGAATGCAATCTCATCCAGGTAAATGATGGCAGACAAGAATTGGAGAAGCATAGTGTATCAATGGCTGCAGGTAGGCTGAGAAGGACAGGGAGAGATTGTTCACTTTATGGTACTGTGGCAGGAGCAGAAGTCTGATTAGATGGATTTTGGATAGAATGGATGTCGATTTGGAGAGATGACAAGATACTTGAGGCGAGAAGGGTTAGTGGTGAGGCAATATTTTGCAAATAAAGAGGAGCCAAGATTTTCTTCAGGAGTCAAAAACAGCAGATTTGAGATGGAGAGGAAGAAAATATCAAGAAAGAAAATATTAGCAATATTGGTTAACGTAGGAGCTGTAGTATGATGTGACCTATATTTGTGACAGTGAACATTTATAGGTTTTAATCATAACCATCTGCAAGAGATGGTAAGTGAGGACATTTCTAGGACTGCACATGTCTGGGCTCTAGCTCCATGTAATCTATCATCAATGTCATAGGTCCTCATACACATGCTCAGCAGCTTTTCTTCGGATAAATGGTTAACCCTTTATTCTACCTTCTCCAAACAAACTGCAATTCTTCATTGAATCTCTTTTAACCATTATTACTCAACTCCCCATCACCCCACCCTGAAGCATTAATCACCAGTGTTCACAACACTCTTGGAGACTGGAGGACATATAGGATGCATCTGCTCCTCTGATATTGTCTTGGGAGGTGAATGCAAAGTGGAGTGAGCAGCTTTTCAAGGAAGGTGGTTCTTGGGCAATAAAGCATTGAAGGATCAACCATGGAAACATGATGCAAGATGTAACCTTCTGGCACTCAGAGGCAGTGGTATCAGTTCCACAATTGCTTTGATAGAATATCATTCTTCTTCAGCCAAGAACATTTCTTGAACTATCATGAAAGTAAAGGTCTATCATTGATAAGGACATAGACTTCATTACCAGAATCTGTAAGAAGCTATTGGTTAGCATGGTAGTCTGTTGGCTAGATGATAAATTAGATAATAGCAGGGTGTCCAGAATACTTTTCCTGTGTACTGATCTTAATCTCAATTAAACTTTTGACTGGCTAGATATCGAGGGCTTAAGTTCTGCAGTTACATGCCGGTGCATTTCCAAGTTTTCTTTCAAAAGAGTATGATCATCTTGAAAGTGAATCAAAGACAAAGTGCACTTCATTTCCTTTTTCTCTACTTTGTCATAGGGTATGGGCATCAGTGGCAAGACAATAATTTACTTTGAACTGATTGGCTTGCTAGGCCAATACATGGGATAGATTGCAGTGGATCTGGAGACATGTAACCCAGACCAAGAATGGAAGATTTCCTTCTCTAAAAACATGAGTGAACCAGATTTAGTTTTACGATAATTTATAATAGTTGTCAAGGTCATTTTAACTGAAACTAGTTTTCCCATTCCAGATTTATTAATGGAGTTGAGTTGCGGTTGTTGGTTTTTAACACATATCCCCAGAACATTAACCTGGATCTCTGGATGACCAGTCCACTGATATTACCACTATTAATGAAGCTCTTTATACCAGGGTGATACACATACATTATCTTGCCCACAAAATGTTCAGGGGAATCGCACTGATAGATAAGCTTTCAACCTCACTAGAAAAGGTCAAATTGGCCAAGTGTCTACAGAAAAACACTTGGATAACAATGATCACTGTATCATAAGGATTAAGCTAGTAATGCAACAGATCAAGGAACAATCTAAAGTACAAACCTTAATTGGAAGTGCAATGTGCCAGGATCTAATGAGGGTATAGTAGAAGACGGATGGGAAAAGCTGTAACAAAACTGTAGAGGTAAGGAAAGGATAATAAGGTGAAGGAACCTTGGGTGACAAGACGTGTGGAACACCTAGTCAAGAGGAAGAAGAAAGCTTAAATAAGGTTGAGGAAGCAAGGATCGGACAGGGCTCTAGAGGTCTACAAGGTAGCCAGGAAGGAACTGAAGAATGGACTTAGGAGAGCTAGAAGGGTGTATGAGAAAACCTTGGCAGGTAGGATCAAGGAAAACCCCAAGGCATTCTATGCTTATGCTAGGAACAAAAGGATGGCCAGAGTGAGGGTAGGGCCAATCAGAGATAGTGGATGGAACTTGAGAGTGGAGTCAGAGGTGGTAGGGGAGGTCCTTATTGAATACTTTGCTTCAGAATTCACCAGTGAGAGGGACCTTGATGTTTGTGAGGACAGCATGAAACAGGCAAATATGCTCAAGCAGGTTGATGTTAGGAAGGAGGATGTGCTAGAAATTTTGAAAAACATGAGGATAGATAAGTCCCCTGGGCCAGACGGGATATACCCAAGGTTACTACAGGAAGCAAGAGAAGAGATTGCTGCACCTTTGGCGATGATCTTAGCATCTTCACTGTCCACTGGAGTAGTACCAGATGATTGGAGGGTGGCAAATGTCATTCCCTTGTTCAAGAAAGGGAATAGCGATAATCCTGGGAATTACAGACCGGTCAGTCTTATTTCTGTGGTTGGCAAATTATTGGAGAGGATTCTGAGAGATAGTATTTATGATTATTTGGAAAAGGACATTTTGATTAGAAATAGTCACATGGCTTTTTGAGGGGCAAGTCATGCCTCACATCCCTTACTGAATTCTTTCAGGATGTGAAGGCAGAGCAGTAGATGTGGTGAATATGGATTTTACCAATGCATTTAATAAGGTTCCACATGGTAGGCTCATTCAGAAAATAAGGAGGCATGGTATTCAGGGAAATTTGGCAGTCTGGATACAAAACTGGCTGTCCAATAGAAAACAGAAGGTGGTGGTAAATAGAAAGTATTCAGCCTGGAGCTCGGTGACCAAT